GGGGGTTCCTTATTCTAATTATGGTAATACTATTTCGGGGGGGTCCTCGGTATAACTATAGTATAATACACCCCCAAACCTATTCTAGTTATTAAGGCCCCTACAGTACCTTTCTTGGAGGGTCATGGGGCTTAGTAAGCAAAGGGTTATAGTGATAAGCACCTGAATATAGGGGATTGTACGCCAGGGGTTATAGTTCTAAGCAACTTCATATAGGGGTTCTACTTAAATATAACTGTACCTACCTTACCCTAAACCCTAAACCCTAACCCCCCCAAACCATAAACCCTAAACCGAGTTACTAGGTCCCATGATCCTTTAAGTAGAACCGAGGTCTGCCACTCTGCCAGTAGTGCAGAATCCATATGTGCAGCCGTGGCGGCCTCAATGGTCCCTGTTTTGCTTGGGAAGTTTCCCAAAACCCTAAACCCTAAACCCTAAACCCTAAAACCCTAAACCCTACAGTAACCCTAACCCTAAACCCTAAACCCTAAACCCTAAACCCTACACCCTAATAGTGCCTCGGATCGAGGGCTTGCGGTTTAGTAGGGTTTAGGGTTTGGGGCCCGACTCCGGGCGAAGTGGAAAGCCTGTTGCAAAAAGGGTTTAGGTTTTAGGGTTTAGGGGCGTAGGGTTTAGGGTTTAGGGGTCCAAGTGCCCAGTATTTGACGACTTTGGAGCCTTTTTGGGTACCTAAAACCATAAATAAGGACTACTTGGACCCTTAGGGCAGGGTTTGTTCTGCGTGGAAAGTTTGGGGTTGAGGTTCAGGGTTTGGGGGGTCGTTTCGAGATTCGAAAACAGAGCAAGCGGCTGAACGAACTCGGACTAGTTGTGAAGTATAATCGCTACACCCCGAACCGAAGATCACCCAGTGAAGGCAGCTACCCATGCCGGAACGAAGCCCAGCGCATTCCACTTTAGCCCCTTAACCCGGGATCCGCCTTTTTAAGGAATTAGCGACAGCGAATTAGGGTTCTGGTTTTGCGGGTTCAGGGTTTAGTAGCGTTCAGGTTTATGTTCTGGGGGTTCAGGGTTCCCGAGTGTGAGTGTTTGGCATGTAGAGTTGAGGCTTTACGCTTTTGGGGTTCAGTGCTTCAATGCTCAGATTTTTGGGCATCCGTGCTGAGCATTAAGACATCCGCTAACCAACCTCTTGCATCAGCCCTATCTTAACCCCAAAGCACCTACCTTTTCAGGACTTATATAAGGAACTATAATTATATGAAGAACCTACCTCTTTTAAGGACTTTCATAAAGAACTATAATGAGGAGCCCTAAAAAGGTTGGTTATGTGGGGTCCAGGTAAAATCTCAAAAAAAAAAACACAAAACCCTAAGGGTCCAAGTAGTCCTTATTTTTGGGTTTAGGTACCCCCAAAAGGCTCCAAAGTCCTTAAATGATGGGCACTTGGACCGTTAGGGAAACTCAACTCCCGGTCTAGACCCTAAACCCTAAACCCTAAACCCTAAACCCTAAACCCTAAACTAGAAAAGGCTGAGACTCAGCAACTTCGCCTTGTTGCGGTCCCCATTTATTAAACCTTAAGCACATGCCCTGCCCAGCGAGCCCAACACCCCTTAATTAAGGAATATACCTTAAATCCTAATATTAAGGCCCCTATGGTTTAAGGTATATTCCGTAATTAAGGCGTATTAGGTTCTCCAGGTTATTAAACCCTAAACACATGCCCCGAGTCAGGAATCCAAGGCCGTGAACCTTGAACCCGGAAAGTCAGGGCCATTTCTCACCTTCCTTGAAGGTTGATGGGTAGTTGAATTGGGGCTTACGGCTTTCTAGAGTTGGGGTTTGTAGGGTTTAGGGTTTGGGTTTCGGGTTTTTGATTTAGGGGTGTAGTGCTTTAAGGGTTTATAGGCCTAGGGGATTCGGGGTTTAGGTTTTAATCAGGGTTTATGGCTAGAAGCATCTCAAGCAGTGTCGCAACTACTTTGGAGTATAGTTGTTTCGCTCATCTGATTGAAGTACAAGTACCTTATTAAACCTTAAGCCCTAAACCCTAAAGCCCGCATGTCGTGTATGAGCTTTCAGCAGAGGCTTGGGACCGGGGCGTTCAGCCCCTCCTACGGGTGCGGCTCCCAAAGTTACGGAGGTCTCTCGCGCGCTCTCTCTCTCTCTCTCTCAAAATTAGAATATATACATATGTATACATATATAGATGTGTATGTATGTCTGTATGCATGCATGTATGCTTGTATGTATCTATGTATGTATATATATATATATGTATGTATGTATGTATGTATATGTATATGTATGTATATATATATATATATACATATATATATTTATATATTGTATATATATATATATAGAATATCCACATATTTTTTAGGAGATGCACATAACTTGTGTGAATTTCGTGAGCAAGATCCCAGATTGCGGGTATCGGGTTTTGGGTTAGGATCTCGAACTTGCTGGCTCGGGAGTTTCTTGGGGGTTGCAATAAAACAAAAAATGTTTCCAATTCTCTGTGCTAACAGTCGTTTTGCAATCATCTTGGGGCGTGGTTTAGGGTTTAGGGTTTAGGGTTTAGGGGAGGCTTCAAGGTTACAGCATGGTGCAGGGATTCGGATTGTAGGAGTTTAGGATGCAAGGCTTCAGTTCCTGAGCTGCTATCCTCACCAAGCGGGCGCACGCCAACTCAAGGTCAGGAAAAGCCCGTAATCATTGCATGAAGAGGAGTTTACAAGCTGGAGGCTTAAACTGAATGGGAGAAAATGCCAGTGCAAGGACTACTTGCTCCGAGAGCTGTCATTGTCCGGTTAAATTTCGGGTTTAGAGTGTAGGCTTTATAGGGTTTAGAGATTAGGGCTTAGGGTTTAGAGTTTAGGGTGCAGTGTTCTGAATGTAGGGTCTCCCATTTTGAAACCAGCCGCTTCTTTGCAACTTTTCCGAACAGGATCTGGATGGTACTGTTACTATGCAGTCCCGACAATGCCTAACTCTCAGCCCTAAAACTTGCAAACCATGTCGTTCCTTTCAAAACTGTACGCCCCCAAAAAATCCCAGTCACCCGATCAACACCGCAATCCCGCACCCCTAAACCCTATACACTATAAGTTCAATGCCAACCCCCAAATAAACCTTATGCAAACCAAGATATGGCGCTGTTCCTGCGCCGATCATGCCGCAGCCAGCTGGGTATATGCCTTGCCCCCGGATGCCCAACCTGTCAGGGTTTCTATGGTTCGCCCCCAACCCTAAACAGTAGGATCCTTACAATGGAGACCCTACGCAAGAAGTTGTGTGTGGCCGCGCGTTGGTGGGTGTGTGTCTTTTCCTATTCCGGCGTTGATCGACGACGTTCTATTCGGAAGCCTTATCAGAAATCTTCACTGTGCTTCGGATGTTTCAGGGAATATAGTTATTTCGTTTGCACAAGCCTTAACTCTCCGTTAGGTCATGAACTTCTTGGAAGCCTGTGGTGTTCTGAAGCAGTAGACTACAAAAATCTCCTCGAATCTGATTGATGAGCAGCTCCAAGCGGTGATGCAGGGTGAGAAGTCTCGTCGGTCGTTATCTTCGTGCAGTAGCAGCAGTAGTTGTCATATAATAAATCCTAAACCCTAAAGCCTAAAAACCCTAAACCCTTCGAGTAGGAGGAGCAGCAGGAGGAAGGAGAGGTGCCCAGCATAATAAGGAGAGAAGGCGAAGACAAAGAGTTCGCAGTTGTGATTCTTGCCGTGGCCGTCGCCGCAATACTATGCAACACCAACCCTAAACCCTAAACCCTAAACCCTAAACCCTAAACCCTAAACCTTAAACCCCCAAACCCAACCAAAAGAAGGATGTGAGACTCTGAACCTTGAACCCCCTTATGCTGCATCCGCCAGACCCCTGGACCCAGGTACAGCTATGACCCCAGCCCTCATGCTGGCGCGGCATCGCCCCTCGACATGCTCTGGGTCTACGACTTGTGGACAAACTTCAGGGTTCAGGATTGAACCCTAAACCCTAAACCCGTTTTCCGAATGTCTCGCTGTCCGGCTGGGGTCCAGGGAGAGGAGGAAGGCGATGTCTCTTCCTGGGTTTAGCCAAGCTTAGGCTTTGGATGTTCGGCGTTGCCTTCAGGTAAGGCTGGCTGGAGCTACTTAATATCCCCGATAAGTCATGTATAACCCGGCTTACAACTGAGAAGGCACCTTGAGAAAGGAAGACCAGCTCCGGGAAACCTGCCTGCGCTGTTCAAACCTGTCGGCATGGCATTCGAGGGTTTTTGTGGTTTCAGATCTTTCTGCCTTTGTCTCTGGTTTAGGGGTTTTCTGGTTCTGGGTTTCCGGATTAGGGCCTGAAGCCAGGCTCTCCGAGCGTGCTGCAAGAATGCTCGGAGTCCCTTGCAGCCCGAAGTCCTGCCTCACGTCACCGTGGGGCGAGATGTCCTGCCTGCATCCCTAAAGCCCAAAACCGGAGGCAGGGGTTTAGGGTTTATTAACAACAAAGTTGCGGCTTCTCGCCGCGCCAACGCCGGTGTGCTCGGCTTCTTGCTCTCAATTTCGGATCGGTGCTCATTGGAAGCCACCAGGAGTCACGCAATCTTCGGTGCCGGCAGTCACCATAGTTGCTGTTCGAACGGCGTATCGCCCAAAGTCTGGTGGCGCAAGCCGCAGCAAGTCCAGCTCCGAGCATTCAGCGCCGTCAGTCACTGTTACAACGGTCAGAAGTCTGGTGCCATCAGGCGATTTTTCGAAGTGTTTCCATCCTGGAAGAGACCATAGTCCATCCCAAAAAGAAGGTAAAGGCCTACGCAACTCCGGCAGCCCTATAAACCACAAGACCCAATGCCCAAGCTTGGCATGAATTAGAGTTGGTTTGCTAGTCTCCTGTAGGGTTGTTCAATTATCCAGGCCCTGTGTTCCTTAAGAAAACGGCTAACCTTGAGGAATGACAGTTCCCTGTGGTGACAAAGCACTCCTCACATCGGGCCCTTCGAATTCAGGATCAGTACCTCACATAGGAGTTTCCGAAAACAAGGCACCGCTAATGAGAACCCGATTGACTTCAGGCAGGGCGGTAGGGCCACGAATCTTCGGAAGCTTTGGGTTCAGGCTTGAAGCTTCGTCTCCAGATCTGCTGTTCTGAGGTATGCGCCCGCAGCGATGCCAGCTACTAGCTCCTTCTCGACTGGACCTTAGAGTATAGCGCTTGCGGGACGGGCTGTGTTTTGCTGAGGGTTCAGGGCACGATCCTGTGGGTGCTACCCGGGTCCACACAGTTGGCGTTTGCCCATTTCAGTTTTGAAGGGGTCCTCCTGCATCCAGTATGTGTCGGCAAGGTGGTGGGGCTCGAGTCGAACCCTTACTAACACAACAAGCTGGAAACCAGCACTCCGCCCCCAGACCGACAAGAGCCGATAAAAAAGCTCTAGTGCGCTGTTCGAACCGGGCGCAGCCGTAGTATCCAAACTCCGAGCAACAAGCCCTACAGACAAAACCGCGCATCCCACCCCAACCCCTGTCGGCAGCTGGTTCTACCGATTCTGACCTCAGCATTGTTTACACAGACGAACTTTCTCCGCGCGCTGCCTCTGCCCGTACCCGGCTCCCCGAAACCATGGCTAATTCCCAGAGACTCCAATATCCCTTAATAATTAAGGAACATACCTTAAATTAGAGTAGGATCCCTAATATGACTTAAGCTAATTCCTTAATTAAGGGATATTGGGGTCTCTGGGTCCTTCTAAATTGTATCGGGATGCAAAACATCTTAAAAGCTCCAATACTCCGCCTTCCTCCGTGGTGTGGCTGTCCTTAACTCCCCGGAAGATTGAGCAATCAATACACGCGAAAGGTTTATGAAGTTCATGGCTGACCCCTAAACCCTAAACCCTAAAACCCTAAACCCTAAACCCCTAAAACCCTAAACCTAAACCCGAGGGCTCAACTCCTGCAACCCCCAAACCCTAAACTGCCCCGAACGCCACACCTAGCCCCGCAAACTGCCGAAACCCTCTAAACCCTTAATAATTACCTACGTTGTTTTGGGGGCTCCGTAGTATAATTATAGTAGAATTCGAATATGCCAAAAAACCTTATAGTTATTTTTATTATTAATTTCTATGGTTATTATTATGGTTATTATTATATTATTATTCATTCAGGCTACATTACTCGCACCCTCCGCCCTGAAGCCTAGCCTTCGTCCTTATAAACCCAAAGGCCTTAGAGTGGGAGGTTTAGGGTTTAGGGTTTAGGGTTTAGGGGAGTGGGAGGTTTAGTAAGGTTCCTGAGCAAGGAATTAAGTTCCCGAGGGCTCCTTACACATTCTAAAGGCACTAACTAGAACCCTGTTCCAACTATAAAGGCCTCCATAATCAACCCTAGAATGCCCCTATACATAACAGAACCTTTGTAGACCCCATGAAACGGAACCCCGAAAGGAACCCTATAGTATGAGGTACGTGCCTGCGGTGCCGGCTGCGGGCTCCTTCTCGCATGGCGCTTGGGGGGTTCCCTATTTAGGTTTACAGGGTTTAGGGTTTAATTTAGGGAGGGTTTAGGCTGTACTTAGATTTCCAAAGCCCGTAGTTAAGGAAATTTCAGGAAAATACCCCAAGGATCCCTGACAATTTATTGGGACTCATGTTCCTTGCATACGAGGGACTTTGTGGAGTTTCTTCATTCAAGGGACTAAAGGAGGGACCCTTAAAGGGACCCTTGGGGGTGTATAGGGACTTTATGAGACTATAGAAGGGTTATATAGGGTATTAGGATGAGGAGTCCCTTCTAGGGGTCCTATTGTCCCTTAATTCATATTTTCTTTAAAGGAACTCTGTCATAGATAGGGTCCTATACCACGATCAAAGCTAGGTGATCGTAAAACCCTAAGGGTCCAAGTACCCATGGTTTCAGGACTTTGGGGCCTTTTTGGGCACTTAAAACCACAAACAAGGACTAAACCCTAAACCCTAAACCATAAGACCCTACGGGAAAGCCACTACCTGTAAAGGTCGGGGCCTGGATGGACTAGGCTCAGGATCTTTCTGGCTGCCTGATCTTTGGGATGTAGGGTTTAGGGTTCAGGGTTTACGGTTTAGCCTATTAACTATAGTCTCCATTGTAGTTCCTTTTTGGGTTACCTGATAGCATCCTAATTATAAAGCTGGTTAAACCAAAAACAGGAACTACAATGGAGACTATAGCTAAATCCCTAAACCCTAAACCCTACACCCTGAAACCCTAAACCTTAGGTAGGGCTTAAGGTCTAGGGTTTAGGGTTTAGGGTTTAGGGTTTAGGGTTTAGGGTTTAGGGTTTAGGGTTTAGGGAGGGTGAAGGGCTCAGGCTGCAGCAATACCAACTCCCAGTTTCTCGAAGTAGGACTCAGTGGAACATCGGTTGAGGGGTTTAGGGGTTTAGGGGTTTAGGGTTTAGGGGTTTAGGGTTTAGGGGTTCAGGGTTTAGGGTTTGGGGTTTAGGGGTTTAGAGGTTTAGAGGTTTATGGGGTTTAGGGGTTTAGGGGTTTAGGGGTTTAGGGTTTCGGGGTTTAGGTGCAAGAGGCTTGTTGTGTTGCCGGCCTGTCGGGCATGTTCGGTTGGCAGTGGACTCGGCCCAAAGAGAAACAGTGAACTGTACAGACTATACCCATGTCCTGACATGGACTTTTGAAGTTCGGGTTTCCGAGCTTTGGCCGAGCTTTTTGAAGTACTGTAGTTTGCATCTTAGCTTAGGCCTTAAACTGAACCGAGCCACGAAGCTGCCTTGTCTGAGGTATGTGCCGGCAGCGGTGCCAGCTACGAGCTCCTTCTCGCTGGGTGCTTATGAAACCATCGTAAACTGAACCCGAGGAGCTTTAAGCAAAACCAAAGCCCAAAAACGTCGCCAAACTCACAACTCTCAAATTCTGAGCCCCTCAACCCTGCCTGAATCTGCTAAAGAAAACACAAAATTCACAGTCGGATTCTCCGGCTCTGTGATATTAATCTTGGCAGTCCTAAACCATACTCGAATTTGACTTGTTGAAACAGGCGTGATGCCCTCTTACGGTCCGATGGAAAGACCTCTTCTTCAGGCTGTGCCTAAAGAACAACCCAAAGTTTGGGGCTGAGGTATGTGCCAGCAGTGGCAGGTGCAAGCTCATTTTCGCCTGGGGCCTTGGGTTGGGAGATGGGCTTGAGGTTTCGTTTTTTAGAGGTGAGGGCTTAGGGTCTAGGGTCTGGGAGGTAAAGTCCAGGATTTTATGATTTCTGCGAATTCCAGGCAGGCGCTGCGTGAATAAGCTGTTTTGTCAGTAAAGGCTGGTTAAGTGTTAGGCACTTGGGCTCCCTAAACCCTAAACCCCTAAACACCTAAACCCCCAAACCCCTAAACCCTAAACCCCTAAACCCCTAAACCCCCAAACCCCTAAACCCTAAACCCCTAAACCCTTAAACCCCTAAACCCCTAAACCCCTAAACTTTGGAGTTTCGGGGTCGGCGATTCCTAAGCGGCGTGAGCCTGCTGTCCTACCGATCGCTATTGCAAGTGCGATGGTCAGGTCTAAGAGCCAGGGTTTGGGGTTTGATATACCCATAGGCCCTAAAGCGGTTCCTTTTGGGGGTTCATATATAAAATCCTATAAGGTAATCCCAAAAAGGAACTACTGTGGGGCCTATGGGTAGAAGCCTGAATTATTCACGGTTTAGGGTTCAGGGTTTAGGGTTAATTACCTATGTTATCTTGGGTTTTGATATAGGGTTTTAGGATTGAATATAGAAGCCTAAATAATTACCCACATTATGTTGGGGGTTCCTTATTGTATAAGTATAGTCTAATATATACCCAAAACCTTATTCTAATTATTGGGGCCCCTACAATAGGGCGTTTCCTTTTGTGCCTGAAGGGCAGCTCTGTGGCGCTTGCGGTCGCGGCGCTGTCGCAGCGACGATTGCTTGCAGACGGACTGCATGTGAGCATGTACTGTGAGCTTGGCGCAGAGGTGGATCGGCGCAAAGTTTGTGACAATGGCGATCATGGTGTTGCCTACTGCGCAGGCCTTGCTGCTGGTGTTGCCCAGCCGGGCCTGGCCTTCTTCCGTTGTCTTGTGTGGGCTGCGACCCTTTGCTGCGTCGTTCATGCCGAGCCTCCGCTGAAAGCGGTTGAGGCTACCTGCGGCCTTCTTTCGGCGGCTGAGCGATCCGTGCTCTGCCTTGGACCAAACTGATGCAAGCCATGCCAGGCATCCGGCTCTGTGCTTACATGGAATGCGCGACCACAGCACCACTGACAACAGTCAGTTTTTGCGCGTGGGCCGGTGCGATCAGAAGATTATTCTTGAGCTGCAGGATCACACCGGCGCGCATCAGCAATGACATCACATGTTTCCTGATGCCGGGAGCCATGACCATCTCGGTCTCTTTCAACGGAGCGCGGGCTGAAGTGCTTTCTCGCCCGCACGTCTGTGTCCTCGCACTGATAATTGCTTGCAGAACCGAAGATGCAGCAGTCGCAGATCGTGCCGAAGTCAACAGGCAATGCACGGAACTTCTGTGCTATGCAAAGATCACCGCAAAAAGTAAAATGTTGCAGCGACGATGGCCCATCTGGTGCAATATCCTGAGCCTTTTGCAGCTGCAGAAGACGCACCACACGCAATGTAAGGTCGACCGATCCGAAACTTTCCTTCTCACTGGTCTTGACTGGCTGTCTCATCACGGCAAAGTACACTGAAACAGCATGAGAGTCAAACTCGTAGCATGGGCACCATGAGCACACTTCCCATCAGAATTGCTTTGCACTCACACTTCAGCGAACCTTGCCAAAGCATCGGTCCTTCGTTGTGAAAGTCTCTCTGGCTTTGGCGGAACTGCCTGCCTGTACCCTGGGCCAAACCTTAACCCGAATTCCGCTTGTTCTGGGTTAAAAAAGTAAATAAAGGAGAGGTGGGAGTTCCCTCGACCCTTTCTGTTTCGGGTTGGGGCTTCAAGCAAAGGAGTTAGGCCTGTAGAGGTTCGGGGACTGCGACAGGATGCAAGTTTGCGTAAGTTTCCGCGAAAGTATGGGAAAGTTCCCGACGATGAAACCACACGAACAACCAGACCGTTACCACATCTATGCAGATCAGTGTGTTATTGCCTAAACCCTAAACCCTAACCCTAAACCCGAAGCTCGCCAAGGGTGAGCCAGCCAGTGCGGTCCACGTCCTTTGAGACGCCAGCTCCTCAGGGTTTAGGATTTAGGGTTCAGGCCGTTGCTGTTTGCTGATTGCCTGAGCCCAAGGCTATGGGCCTTGACTGGGTGATTGCCAAAGATAAGCTACCATAATCGGGGTATAAAGTATCATAGTATGGTTTCTTTATTATCGTAACTTGAAATCGGGATCTAAAATAAATAGCATGCTTTCTGTATTATGGTAACTTTATTTAAACCCCCACTATACTATGGTTTCTTTATTATGGTAACTACTTACACGAAATCCCCAGAGACTCCAATACCCCTTAATTACGGAATATACCTTAAATCATATTAGGGATCCTATTATAATTTAAGGCAAATTCCTTAATTAAGGGACATTGGAGTCTCTGGGTCCCTTAAACCCTAAACCCTAAACCCTATACCCTATACCCTATATGGGTAACAAGAGCCCAGCTGAAGGTACCCGGCATCGATACCACCGATGGCAGCGGCGGCCTCGCTTAGTGGCTGGAGCCCTGGCTCGCCTGGGCCGGCATACAGAACACAGTAGGGTTTAGGGTTTAGGGTTTAGGGTTTAGGGTTTAGGGTTTAGGTGTTTAGGGTTTGGGGTTTAGGGCTTTGGGTTTAGGGTTTAGGTGTTTAGGTGTTTAGGGTTTATGGTGTAGGTGTTTAGGGTTTAGGGTTTAGGGTTTAGGGGTAATGAGGTGTATGAATGTGGTAGTTTCCGAAAATACGGGCTGCCTTGTTTTGGGGTCCTTATAATAAGGATCCTACTATTTGGAGTCGTAATGAGGTGTATGAATACGATACGGGCCTGAATAATTATCAATACTATTTTGCCTATAGCGAACAAGTACACAGTTTCCGTGTCCTCCTCGAAACCCGAGCCCTGTCCCCCCCACTTGCGATAGCCAAAGCACGTGCGGGGTTCCTGCGACGCCTTTATGTGCACGGCCCACGCACGCTCCTCGTGCTGCTATGGGACCACTGGATTTTGCATCGCCGTTCCTCTTGGCTTGGTCAAGTCCAGGCTGACATTGTCCATGTAGCGCAGTATGTCCCTTCTGTCCGAGATGTCCTGTGCACTGCCGACCCCGTTGCTGCCCTGTTTGATGCCTATGGGACAGATAATACGTGGTGGTCCAGACAGCTCAAAGCTGCGGAAAAGGCCTTTTTCGAAGACCTAGACAAGTGGAACAACGAGCGCAAGCTAGGTGCGGCTTCGACCAAACCGGCTACGGCCTTCGACTCCCCAGGCCAATATCCATGCTATCTCTGTCAGGCCGCTTTCCCTTTGCGGAAACATTTACACGTGCACCTTGCACGCACGCATTGCATTTACTCCCCGACCCGGCATTAACACTCTTAGCAATACGTGCTCAGCCTGTCTCAAGGTGTTCCCGGGCATCAAGCAAGCCCAACACCACTTAAAGCACTCTTCCTCGTGCCTTCTCCGCTGTCTATACCTGCATGCTCCACTTGCTTATGCACAGATCCAGGCTCTGGAGCAGCCAGCCAAGCAGCAAGCTGATGTCATCAGCAAAGGCAACTGGAAGCAGTTTACTGGATCGCGGACCTCCAGAGTCGCACAAGCCTTTGGGCCAAGAGTTCCGACCTCGGCGGAACGCCAACAAGCCTCCGTTGACGAGGATGACCCCCTTACCTGCCTTTCGCGTCGTTTTGAGCCTGCGCCGGCTCACGTCGTATGGATTCAAGACCATGTCAACCAACGCAGTGTTGAGGGACCTCGCGCCACAGCCCAAAGGTTTTGGAGCGTCCGCCCCACGTTTCACCTCTCGAATTTAGGCATGTAGTTTTGGGACGCGTCGCGCAGCGCCGTAATCACGGCCGGTGACTCGAGGGTCCACAAGAAAGAAAGAAAAATACTATTTTGCGGGGTTCCTTAGTATAGTTGTAATCTAATATACCCCAAAACACTGTTCTATTTATTAAGGCCCCTATAATAT